GGAGACTCGCTTGAGCCCAGGAGTTGGAGGTTGCTGTGAGTTGTGATGCTACAGCACTCTACCCAGGGGGACAGCTTGAGGCTCTGTCTAAAAAAAAAACTTTGAAATTCTTTTCAAATATGGTGACCTTAAGGGCCATTCACTCATTCCTAATGAGAACCTTTCATAGCCTGATGTTTCTCAAGGGAAAGAGTGCTGTGGTTAATTAAGTAGGCTAAACATGGGCAGGTCACACCTGAGGAGGTAACGCTGGGCTTCCAGTGTTACCTTGTCTGAGAAAACGAAGCCCAGGATCCCAGCAGCCAGCTGTAGCAGGAACACGGCAGTGAGGCAGAGGGAGAACTGTGGGGAGCAGGCAGGAAGAGGAGATTCCGGTTACCACTCTGGGCAGCAGCCCCTCCCTGGGCAGTCACTGGGCACATCTCCCAGATGCCCCCCACATGGGAAAGGCAGCTGCCTCTGGGACATTGTCCTGGGATGGTCACCGAGTACTGGGTCACCTGGGGCTGAGTTCTACAGTGAGGAAGTGGACAGCACAGGCCTTGGGGGAAAGTGGGACAGAGAAAATGGAAAGCCATAGGAACGGCATTGGGAGGCCTTTCTGGTGGGAGCCATTGACCACTCACCGTCTGCAGGAGGCAGATGTTCTCACGGAGGGATCCGATATAGCCACAGAAGGTGAGCAGGAACATGAGGACACCCACCACGATGAGCAGGATGGCAGGATCCACCGCCAGGCAGGCCAAGGCTGCTTCTGGTGGAGGAGTCATCCTGTGGTCTGAGCCTGATGCCCATGGAGGGGCACTCAAGGATGGGGTGGGAGGGTGCTCCCAAACTGTTCTCTTTCCCTTGGCTGGGGAATCTCCCCACGGGGAGAAAAAGGGCCCAGATGGGGTTGTGGCATTTAATTTGAGGAACTAACAATGTAAGAGCCTTTATTCCTGGGCTTAAGAGAGGAGGGGCTGCTTTCGCTCCAGAAAAGAATTAGAATGGCATTAGGCTCACCAGCTTTGCAGATTCTGTTTCCTGGAGACAGAATGTGCAGGAAATGAGTGCAGGAACGGAGGTTGAGTTTCTCCAGGACAGAGTTAGGAAGGAGCTAAAGCCCTTGATTACTCTGCTTCCAGAGGCCTCCCTTCTTTCTCAGACACTCCTAAGCCTAACATGGAAGACTCATGGGGGCTCAGGGAAATCCAGGTGAACTGGTATGGGAGGTCTGACACCGAAGTAGACCAGTAAGATTTGGCTGCAAGGAGGCTGCCTTCTTGAGCACCAAAGCTTATACAAGAGGGCATGCAAGAGGGCCAGGGCTGAAGGAGGAAGTGGAGAAGGGGCATGGCCAGAGTCCTGGGGAGGTAGAGGGAGACCCATGCTCACCTGCGTGCTTCATTAGCCTCGCATACACTCCCACAGCCACCAGCACCATGGAAATCACCTGTGAAGACAGGGAATGAACCAGGCTCTGAGATTTTGGAAACCAGAGAGCTCTGAATGCCATGAGTAACCTTCTAGGAGAGCAGGAGAGAGAAGACTTCTTCAGGACCCAGAGGTGCAAGCATCTTTCTCCTTCCCAGTGACATAGCTGACAGTATCTGCTAGTGCTTTACCTCCATGGGATACTTTTACCAAATTATTTTATTCAATCTGCACAATACAATTATCTCGGGAGGTTATTTCCCCAATTTTACAGATGAGTTGATTAATTCAATATAAGATTAGTATAGAACAGTGATTAAGAACATGGGCTTCAGATTGGGTGTGGTGGTTCATGCCTATAATCCTAGCACTCTGGGAGGCTGAGGTGGGAGGATCCCTTGAGCTCAGGGACCAGCTTGAGCAAGAGCGAGATCGCGTCTCTACTAAAAACAGAAAAATTAGCCAGGCATGGTGGCATTTGCCTGTAGTCCCAGCAACTTGGGAAGCTGAGGCAAGAGGACCACTTGAGCCCATGAGTTTGAGGTTGCTGTGAGCTATGATGCCACAGCGCTCTAGCCTGGGGTAACAGAGTGAGACTCTGTCTCAAAAAAAAAGAACATGGGCTTCAGAGTGAGTCAAATTTGGGCTTATGTGGGGCAAATTTTCTGAGCATGTTTCTCTATCTGAAGAATGAGAATTAAGTACAAACAAATAACTACATCTAACAAGATTACTGTGAGAATCAAATAATATAATGCATGGAAAGCTCATGACACAATGCCTGACAGTACATATTACCTATCATTCCTAAGAGTTAACTTGTCCAGGGTTACAGAGAAATGGTGAAGTTTTGAATTCTAATCCATCTACATCAAAGGGCAGGTCTTATATCTAAAGCAGGCCCAAGCAGAGGTATACTCCCAACTCTGTAACCTTCTTTGAAGTCATTATGGTGTCAAGTACAAGAGCAAAGTGTGCTCCAATGTGAAAGAATGGGCCTCAGTACTGGAGCTACTGTGGCAGAGGAACTTTATCTATACAGTATGAAGGAATAAGAGGATGTCAAGCCTTTCAAATGTTGTGGCTTCTCCCTGAGAAAACAAACCCATCACAGACTACCCGGAGTCCCCAAATAAGCCTCTGTATCCCCCCAGGCCTCCAGCAGTGAGGACACCTCAGTGTGTGCTTCCCTTGGCTATCCTTTCTCTGTGCCCAACCTCCAGGCTGGTGCTAAGCAGCAGCTGGCTGTTGCCATGGCGATAGATAGGGCCAAGCTGGCAGGAGAGAGTTCTCAGCAGCAGGGACTTGACCAACACAGTGGGGAAGAAAGTGGCTGGCTAGACTCTACTGTCCTGCAAGACAGAAGCCAGCTGGAAAGAGCCACTTTGAGATTTGGTGGGAGAAGGGAGCTGGGCCTTTAGAACAGGCCAAACTAATGCCTCAGTAGAAAGATGTTTTTCCTTGTAGGCTTCCTTTATGAAGGTCCTGTGCCATCTGGCAGGGAAGGGCAGGTGCATTGGGCAGTAAGTGGCAAACCCTCATCTAAAACCACATCTTTTAGGACTTCTCTGCCTATAGGTAGAGTTCCCTCTCTTCAACTTCCATCATTTGACCCTGCCTCTAACCAAGGGACCAATGCATTACCCACCAGCCCTCATACTCTGTCCAGGAGAGAGGGAGCTATTAGTAGAGCTGTGTGTGGGGCCGGAGGTGCCAGCTGGCCTCTGGTCCCACAGCACAACCAGGCCCAGGGAACATAGGGAAGGCAGGGAAACCACACAACAGAGATGCCAGTCATCTCCCAGGCCTGGAAGCCCGCCCTCTGCCAGCATAAGTGAGCAACTTTACCCTTTAAAACTCATCACTGCCAATTACAGTTCTGAATGCCATTTTACTGAACCATTTAAAATTATGTATCTGCTCTTTATTTCTGTTGCTCCCAGGATCTTTACTATGTTTTCACAGGTTAAATTTTCTTTTTTTTTTTTTTTTTT